AACAAAGTGTAGGATTTGTTGACTGTTAAACTGATGATCTTGTCTGTAAACCTTCACTTAATCTACAATAAAAAGTTAAAAAAAGAAATTCCCAGTCTAATTTAAAAAAGAAACTTGAGTGTTGCCAAAAATCTGGATAAATCAATGTTTTGCAAATGATATACGTAAATAAGAATAAAAACTGCCACCCAAATAAAGTTTGGTATAACAGGCATTATCTATTTAATAAGTACAATATGTACATAGAATTTTCTGGAAAAGCTTCATTTTATACAGAAACGTATTTACAAAATCAACAGTATAATCATACTAGAGATTATCTGTACAGTGTGTGTGTGTGTATATATATATATATATAAACAAACTTTGGAAGATAAACAAGTTTCACCAGAGTCAAAACAGACAGCCATATGTATCTTTTATAAACTTTCGTTCCAGAAGAAAAAGTACATCTTTAATACAATTGTAGTGTCTCTCATTGTAATCTTCCTGACAGTTCTTCATATTTGGACTCTTTTCAACTATTTCTCTTGTTCAGCCTTGACAAATGTTAGGTTTCTAGTGCCACCAACTGGTATTAGTTAAAAATTAATCTTAGTGTAAAAAAAATTTCATTTTTTGTTTTTAAAAAGCTTATGGAAAAATAGATTGCTGGAGTCAACATCCATGAGGCAAAATTAATCATACTGAATGATATGATTCATATAAAAATATTATCAGGGTGGCATATGTAGTATTTACAGTATCAGCAATTTCTGATTTATTTTTCCTCCTACTGGCAACTCTTGATCTAAATTTACGTGTAAAAAATTTAGAAAATGATATGCTTCAAAACAAAATTTAAAAACATGCATGACAACATAATCAGATTCATCTTTAAGAGCATCAAAAGCAGGCAAAAATTTACTAAAAAATGGCAAAAACCTAATGCCATTTTATGTCTTTGGATTTTTTTTCCTTTCTTAGAGTCAATTAAACCTCAAAAATTAGGAACGTGTGCAGAACCACAATGTAAACAGCAATGTGCGTCCAGTGTAACCCAGAGCACCATGGCAGAGTGGGTTTCCGGACCATCAACTTAGTTAAGTCTCTTATAGCTCAGTGACAAGAGGCTGCCTATGAGCTAGAGGCCCAAAGACCTGATGCTATTGCTTCTCAATTAAGTTCACTAGACTGTAAGTTCCACAAGGACAGGAAGACCATTTGATCGGTTCACCAATATAATTACAATCCCCTGTGTATGGTGCCTGTACGTGTTTAATAAATGAAAAAAAAATAACATGTTGGTAGTCTGATAGAGTCTAATTTCCAGACAATTTTGATTGGAAAGACTTCTACAGAGGCAAGTTTTTGAGACTATTTAATGGATTTTATTAACTAGCTAATAGCTAAAAATGAGACATGCTGGTCTAAAAAATACTATACATTTGGAATATTCAAAGCTGAATGATCCTATAAATGAAATGATATTCCAGACTCCATATAATTAAGGATCAGAAAATTAGTTCGCTCACAAAATCGCTTTAAGTAGACAAAAAGTTAAAAAAAAAAAAAGGAATTCAAACTAAACTCATTCCAAACGCATGATTTCAAATCCTTAGAATGCTGCAGTCTAAGTGTGGAGTGGTGTGGGAAGGAAGGGAGTTATAGTCCACGTTCAGAATAAAGTTAAAACCCAGTGAAGTGTACATAGCTACATACACAAACAAGCATTTCCTACCCAAAGAAACCAAAATAGTGCTACCTAGCCAGAGGAGTCTTTAATGTGTACAATACAGAAAATATTTTTTTAAATTTCCCCACATCTCAGGTTTATTCAGTCCATTTTCCTTCCCAAGACATCCCATTCATGTTTTCATACACTCAATAGAGTACGAGATAGAAGACCTTGTAAATCCTTACTTTGGGAACTCTTTGTAAATGGGTAAAGGAATCGTTGATATACACTCCTGAATATTTTCGAAATTAGTAAGCACATCACTGATATACCTTCCTGAACATTGTTTTGCGCAGTCCTAACTGATCCATATACACATGATACAGTAATACAGAGAACAAAAGGAAAGTTACATATTTTCGTCAAACACTTTCCATAACTTCTTAACAGTTATGGTAGAAAAGTAATAATATAGTCTAATATAGTTTAAATTGGCTTCTTTTTAAGACTGTATTGCCTTCAACTTCTCCAAATGGCTGCTGGCACAAATGTTAACACTGCAATGTTTTGTTTTGTTTATTGGGTGTATATATTTCAAATGTACAGACAAAGGACACTATGGATCTGACCACTATTTGATCTCCATTAATAATGTAGGAAGAAAAAAAAATCATAGTTTCTGAATCCATACCACACAAGAAACTATTAACACTGAGCTTTGTTGGCTCCTCTTCTGTAGCCTTTAGGCGTGTCAATAATGGGCTGTAAACAAATGGGCAAATCATTCCGATTTGATTGCACTCACCCTCTTTATTTTGATAAATTCTTATTGGTAAAAAAGAAAAAAAAAAGCAAGACAGATATGGTTAAGACTAATACTTTTCACTCTTCAAAAAACACAAGTTAAATTTCTGTGAACTTGTATTTTCATCTGAAGTGAAAAAATAATGATTTGTTTTTGAAATATAACATGCAACTCAACAATACAGAAAAAATCAGACACCGTATTAGATCATCTAATCCTTAGTAAAATGATCTTTTAAAACAGTGTGAAGCAGTGTAGACAGGGATGGTCAACTTAGACATTGGCTACCCAAAATGGGGGGCTACAAAGGCAAGAAGTGACTGGCTTACAAGCTTTTAAGAAGGAGCCTAGATCCAGAGGGCACGGAGGAAGGTAGACTCTCCACTGAGTAGTATCCATTCTGTTTGGGCGGGGCTAATGAAATGAGTTGGGGATAGGTCCTTTGTGATGTAACAGTGCATAATTGTTATCAGGACTGACTGTGAGGGTTGGAAATGTAAAGGTAGACGTTTTGTAGCAAAAGGTGGGGAGTGACTTAACTTTGCAGTCCAGGAGCAGAGGTCCCTGAAACTATCAAGGGAGAAGAGTGGAGTGTAGGACCCTACCCAGAGACCCAGTGCCGCTAGAGATAGAGGCAGAGATGGAGTGGCTGGGAACTTTGGACCCGGAGAGGGAGAGGGGCTGTGTGCTGAAGACCGGGGGGCAGGCTTGCAGGGTATACCCTTTGGTTGGTTGATGATGCATGGAGGGGATTGTAACCATGGCAATGAAACAATATATGATAGAATGAATGTAAAGCTAATGTTCTCCCATTTAAACTATTACATAATTCACAATAAACATTAAAAAAAAAAAGTGTGAAGTTGGTTATATATAAAAAAAAAAATAAAAAACTGCTAAAACATTTTCATTAAAGGGACATTGCTAACATGAGCCTGACTTTTAGAGTATCTACACAGGTCTTCAAAAAGTTGGTGGCAAAACAAAATTAAAAGGGAATGGAATTTTTCCATGAATTTTTTGAAGTTTCTGCATGCAATTTTTTAAAGACTTTCATCTGTCACCCCAAAACGTACTTCTCTGAAGGGCAAGCACAAGATGGCAAAAGTCCTAAACCATAGTGAGGACTGCTCCAACAGCTGCATACAGTATAGGCCAAGCTGTCCCATGACAGAAACGAGCTGAATAGAATGAAATGGGAAAAAGCACACACAGAAATCATACTGCATGAGAAAGTACAAGAGGTGAAAAAAATCCAGCGACCAAAATATTGATACTATGTCTTACAATGCTGAAGTACACATCTTAAATAAACATTGTAAAAATCCAACATGATACAAAAAATTTGGTAAAACTGCTTTGGTTACAAAGATGTGGGTACTTTGTGTTTTAAATAAAAATACCAGACAACATCACATTTCATGGAATGTATGACAATTATACTCTACACATAATTATAACAATAGTAAACAAAGAATGGTCTTCAAATGAAATGGTCAACAGTCTTATATGCTGGGTTTTGGGGGGAGGACTGGTCTTTTGTAAATATCTTAAACACAATTATATTTCTTTTTACACTTCATGTCAGTAAAACTACATTATTTCAGTTTCAAAGAGTTTACTACTCAAACTCTGTTCTGTTGATTGGATCCATTTCACATTTAAAAAATATTAACTAACTGAAGTCCACAGGAACTTTCTAAATAAAAATGTTATTTAAAATTATATTTTGTGGAACTAAAGATTTTTAAAAATTCATCTATTAACTAAAGTTTTGTATGAATCAGAAATGTTAAAATTGTGTTGTGTCCCGAACACAAATATCTGGCAGAGCTCTGCACAGCGATGTTCCATCACTGTTAGTTCCCCAGCTTTCTACTGCTGTTTGTAAGTACCGTCGAGTCGGTTCCGACTCATAGCAAGTTTAGCGTTTCCAAGGAGTGGCTGGTGAGCTTGAACCACTGACCCAGTGGTTCAAACTGGCCTTGCAGTCCAGCACATTAGCCTGCAGTGCCACACCAGGCAGGACTCCAGCGTTCATATTAAGTAAGGCCCATTAAAATTCAACAACAAAAAATGTAAGTTAAAAGATTTAAGCACTAATACAATACCCTGGAACACAGTAAATTATATCAATGGAATTTCAAAACATTAGCATTTTTATTTCTTTCGTTTTCTTGACATAGGAGAAACAGTATATTGTTAAATGATTAACGCCTGTCTTTTCATGCATAAATTTTGAAAGCTGGGTCGTTTTGATATTACATATTTTAAAAAGAGAAGAAATGGACGTGGGGGTTTTGAAAAGCCCTATATCAGCATTTCATATGACTCCTAGCAACTTGAATCATTTTGATTTAATAATAGGTTCTTGTATTATACCATTCTAAAACAAATGTCATCAAAGCTTACACACTCTTAACAGGATACACAGTTATGCATCCCTACTGCAAAAGGATACTTTTTGTACATATGAAGTAAAACAAATGTTTTTACTGGCTGACGCACAGAGCAGCAAAGTCTCCAATACTGGTCAGGGGCACCTGGCCCTGTGCAGCTCTTGCCTGTCGACTGAGTACTACTTAGTGTTCAGTTTTCCTCATCCGCTGTTCTAGTTCATGTTGGTGTTTAATAAGGCGTTCTATTTCGGTTCCAAGTGTTTGAAGATTCTCCTTTTAAAATGGAAAAAAAAAGGGAAGAGAAAACAGAACTATTAAGTATAGTAAAAAATTTTAAAAGCTTATATTTGAAATAAATCTGCTGCCAAATTTGAAACTGAAAGTTACGTTGTTGTTGAGTGCTGTTGAGGTAGTGCAGGGTTTCTGAGGTTGTAAAGCTTAACAGAAAACTCACAGGCTCAAACTGCCGACCCTGTAGTTCACAGTCTAGTGTTTATCCTAAAGAGCCACCATGCTCCTCATAGAGTTATGGTAACTTCTAAATACTATGTGAAATCAACTAGGCAATAGCTGTATTCAGTGAAGTGGTCTGTCCATTTCAAAACAAACTTAATTATTTTACAGACATTTTGGGTCTATAAAACTATTATTTACTACAGTCTTAAATTATTTTTTAAATCCATTATTAATTTTCAAGGCCCACATGAAAAATAAAATAGCTGTAAAAATAAAAAGCCCCAATCTTAAAAAATTATGTTGCAGCAAATAATTATACCTATACTCCTGGTGTGGCACTGTAGGATCAGCACTGGATTGCAAACCACAAGGTTGGCACTTCAAACCCACCAGCTACTCCTCGGAAACCCTATACAGAGTCACTGAGTCAAAATCGACTCATGACACTTAACAACAACACCCATCGTTAATCTCAGGTTCTTTCTGAAAAGAATCTAAAACCAAGTAAATAACTCATTTTAGTGTCCATGCAACAGCAAAACATTTTTTTTCCTATCTTTCCATCCTAGGCAGTAGTTTAAAAACTTGAGACTTTTCAAACAGAGAAAATGTATGTGAATAAACTGACTTAACATTGTATTGCACCAACAGTTCATCTCAGTGCTAGATCAGACTCAAAGAGGGACCATGTTGACAACATTTACTGATCAGTGAATGGGAAATATAAATACCTTCAATGTAATATTTTTTAGTAATGTATCCTCCAAAACAGCCTGTAATTTTTGATTGATCTCCAAAGAGAGTTCCAGTGTTAATCCACTATCGGCTGGATGAGATGTATATAAAGATGCCATGATGCCACCCCGTCTGCTTAAATGGACTTTATTAAAGTCAGAAGCCTCTGAAGAAAGTGTGCCTGATTCTTCCCGTAAAATGTAACTCTGGATTATTCTGCAAAACACAATAACACTATTAAATTTTTGTTACTTGTTGAATTAGGCACACTAGAATTTACAAGAATCAACTCATTATAACCATAAAGATCTATGAGAAAAAAAATGCATCTTATTTAGACAGTTAAGTTATCCCATTATTGTTCTGTTCTTGTTGTTAGGTGCCTTTGAGTGAACTCCAACTCGTAGTAACTTTCTGCACAACAGAGTGAAAAACCGGTTGTCCCTGTGCAACCCTAACAATCATTGTCACACTTGAGCCCATTACTGCTACCATAGTGCCAACCCAGCTCGTTAGAGGTCTTCCTCGTTCTCGATGATCCTCTGTTTACCAAACATGATGTCCTTCTCCAGGGACTGGTCCATCCTGATAACAAATACAAAGTACAGAGACAAAGCCTCGTTATCCTGACTTCTAAGAAGCATTATGGCTGTACTTCCAACAAAGAGTTATTTGTTCTTCCATGGTACTTTCAATATTCTCCTCCAACACCATAACTCAAATGTATCAATTCTTCTACGGTCTTCCTTATTCACTGTCCAACTTTCACATGCATATGAAGCTATTGAAAATACCATGGCTTGGGTCAGGTGCACCTTAGTCCTCAAACTGACATCTTTGCTCTTGAACATTTTAAAGAGGTCTTGTATAGCAGACTTGCCTAATCCAATACATACTTTGATTTCTAGACTGCTGCTTCCATGAGTGTAGATAATGGATCCAAACAAGCTGACGTCTTTGGCAACATCAATCTTTTCTCCATTTATCATGACGTTATTTATTGGTCTGGTGGTGAAGACTTCTGTTTTCTTTACATTAAGGTACAACCAACACTAATGGGTGTGGTCTTTGATCTTCATCAGTATTTTAAGTCCTCTTCGCTTTCAGCAAGCAAGGTTATATCATCTGCCTTCTTCATATAATTCAGATTCTTATATTATTTGCTCAAGATACAGACTGAAGAGGTATGGTGAAGCAATACAACCCTGGGACACAACTTTCCTAATTTTAAACAATTCAGTGTCTCCTTGTTCTGTTTGAACAACTGCCTGTTGGTTTACGAGCACAATCAAGTGTTCTGGAATACCCACTCTTTGCAGTGTTGTCCATAGCTTGTCATGATCCGCACAGTCTAAAGCCTCTGCATAGTCAGTAAACACAGGCAAACATCTTTCTGGTATTCTGTACTTTTAATCAAGAACAATCTGATGAACCCCCTTCCAAGACTGAAACTCAAAGGGAATGCACGAACAGGCATGTAATCTTGCTGGTGACCATGGTGGTCTACTGATAAAGGGAAGTGGGGGAAAAAACAGCAATGAAGTTGTGAGCTAAGTCTGATCACGTTCAACAGACTCCTATCAACCTAGATCGCAACCTGAGTGGCCAGCAGTATAGTGAGACTTGGGGGACTCCTGAGCCCATGGACAGGGAGGGACATAGCCATAGGGGACTAGAGTGGACAGTGAAGTGTCCAACTAATATGAAGTGAGCCATAGGGGACTAGAGTGGACAGTGAAGTGTCCAGCTAATGTGAAGTGACGGGAAATGCACAAGAATGCCCATACTTGCAGATAGTACCCATTTGACCTAGCTTCAATGGCTGGATGATCAGAATTCAAGTAGAGGAAGAAAGAAGAGGAAACAGAGTGTAATCCACTACAATTTGATGAACTTGGCCTATACTTATGTAGTAGCTTAAACGAGGAAACAAATCTTTACAGCAAGGATCATTCCCACCTCCTCTTTACACATGATTGACAGGGATGGGCAACTTAAGACACTGGCTACCCAAAATGGGAGGGGGGGGGCAACAAAGGCATGAAGTGATTGGCTTATAGTTTTCAAGAGGAAGCTTCATTTCAGAGGGTGCAGGGGAAGGTAAAATTTCCACTGAGTGGTTTCCAACCTGTCTAGATGGGGCTGGTGAAAGGAGATGGGGATAAGACTCTTGTGGTTTAATGCTGAATAATTGCTATCAGGGCTGATTGTGAATGTTGCAAATGTAAAGGTAGAACTTTTGTAACAAAAGGAAGGGAGTGGTTATCTTGCAGCCCTGGGACCATCAAGGAAGAAAAGTGTAGTACGGGACCCTTTCCAGAGAAGCAGTGATGTCAGAGATGGAGGCAGAGATAATGACGTGGAGAGATGTAATGGCGGGGGACTCTAGACTCAACGAGGGAGAGGGGCTGTGTGCTGGCGGCGGGAAGGCTGGCGTGCAGGGTATACCTTTTGGTTGTTTGAATGGCTGTATATTCCTACATGCTTCGGTGTACATCCAAAAAAACCCCACAGAGGGATTGGAAGCAAATACTGTTGAATGATGATGCATGGAGGAGATTGAAATCATTGCAATGAAATGAAATACAAGAGAATGAATGTAAAGTTGATGTTCTCCCATGTAAAAGATCACTCAATTCACAATAAAAATGTATTAAAAAAAAAAAGATCTGATGTTAGCAATGATATTCCTTGTTCTACCACATCCTCATCTGAATCCGACTTGAACCTCTGGCAGTTCCCTGTCAATCTACTGTTGTAGACATTTTAAAAATTATCTTTAGCATAATTTTTCTTGCAAGTGATTATTATGATATTATATTGTCCAATGATTTCCACATTCTGTTGGGTTACCTCTCTTTGGAATGGGCACAAATATGGATCTCTTCCAATCAACTGGCCAGGTAGTTGTCTTTCAAATTTCTTGGCATAGGTAAGTGAGTGCCTCCAGTGCTGCTTAAGTTTGTTGAAAGATTTCACTTAGTATTCCATAAATGCCCGGAGCCTTGTTCTTTGCCAATGCCTTCAATGCACCTTGGACTTCTTCCACTGGCTCTTGATCATATGCTACCTCCTAAAATAGCTGAATATCAACCATTTCCTTTTGGCATAGTAAGTTTATATTCCTTCCATCTTCTTTTAATGCTTTCTGTATCATTCAATATTTTGCCCACAGAATCCTCCAATATTATATATCAAAACTTCAATTTTTTCTTCAATTCTTTCAGCTTGAGAAATGCTGAGCGTGTTCCTCTATTTTTTGTGTTCTAACTCTAGGCCTTTGTATATTTTATTATAATACTTGACGTTGTCTTCTTGGGCTGACTTTTGAAATTCTCTGTCCAGCTCTTTTACCTCCTCCTTTCTTCCATTTGCTCTAGAATCACTATGCTGGAGAGCAAGTTTCAGAGTCTCTTCTGACATCCATTTTGGTCTTTTCCTTCTTTCTTGTCTTCTTAATGACTTTTTCCTTCCTTCCTGTGTGATGCTCTTGATGTCATCCCACGAGTTGTCTGGGTTTCAGTCATTAGTTTCTGATGCATCAAATCTGTTCTTGAGATGATTTATAAAGTCAGGTGGGATTCTGTTTAAGGTTGTATTTTGGCTGCCATGGACTTGATTTAAATTTCTTCAGCTTCAGCCTGAACTTACATTTGAGCAATTGATGATCTGTTCTACAGTTTCCCCTTGTCTTGTTTTGGCTGACAAATATGGAGCTTTTCCATTGTCTTTTCTCACAGATGTAGTCAATTTGATTTCTCTGTATTCCATCTGGTAAGGTCCATGTGTATAGTCATTTTTTATGTTGTTTTAAAAAGGTATTTGCAATGAGTAACTCATTGGTCTTATAAAATTCTATCATGCAATCTCCAGCAATGTTTCTATCAACAAGACCATATTATCCCACTATAGATCCTTCCTCTTTGTTTCCAACCTTTGCATTCCAATCACCAGTAATTATCAGTACATCTTGATTGCATGTTTGATCACTTTCGGACTGAAGAAGTTGGTGGTGGTGGTGGTGGTGGTGGTGGTGGTGGTGCGTCGTGCAGTCAGTTTCGACTCATAGTGACCTTGTACAATCTTTTCAGGAGGAGAAAGCCTCATCTTTCTCCCGTGGAACAGCTCGTAGTTTCGAACTGCTGACTGACTCTGAGGTTAGTAGTTCAATCCCTAACTACTACGCTACTAGAACTCCCTGAAGACGTTGGTAGAATTCTTCAATTTCATCATCACTGGCTTTAGTAGTTGGTACATAAATTTGAAACACAGTGGTATTACCTGGTCTTCCTGGTTGTTGTTCCTGTTAAGTGCCATCGAGCTTTTTCGATTCATAGAGACCCTATATGGGGTTTCCAAGGAGCAGTTGGTAAGTTTGAACCGCCAACCATGCAATTCAAATGACCTTGCAGTCCAGTGCCTATCTCACAGTGCCATGTAGGCATATGGATATTAACCTATCACAGACAGCATTACACTTTAAACTAGATCTTGAAACAGTCTTTTTGATTACAAATGCAACGCAGTTCTCTTCAATTTGTCATTCCTGGCATAGTAAACCATTTGACTGTCAGGTTCAAATGGCCAGTACCATCCATTTAAGCTAATGCTTAGGACTGTCGATCTTCATGTGTTTCATTTCATTTTTGACAAATTCCAATTTTCCTAGATTCATACTTCGTAAATTCCATTTTTTAATTACTAATGGATGCTTGTAGTTTTTTCTTCTCATTTTGAGTTGTGCCCCACCAGCAAATGAAAGTCCCGAAAGTTTTACTTCATTTGCATCATCATAGTCAGCTCTACTTTGAGGAGGCAGCTCGTATTCTGAATGCCTTCCAATGTGACAGGCTCATCTTGTGGCAGTAAGTACACCTGACAATATTCTGCAGCTATCTATAATGTTTCAATATTCAATATTTTGGTGCTGACAGTGTTGCATTGCTATTCATAACGTTTTCAATGACTAAATATTCAGAAGTAGTTTGTCTCTCCTTCTTTCTAGTCTGTCTTTGTCTGAAAGCTCAGCTGAAACCAATCTACCATGGATGACCCTATTGGTATTTAAAATGTTGGTGGCATAGCTTCCAAGTCAAAGCCACACACAAGCCACTACAGTATGACAAACTGACACACAAGTGGTGGATTTTTGTTCTAGCAAGTCATTAATATTAAGCATATATACAAACACTTTTATTTCTTCTTTCCTTATTATTTTGATCAAAGGGTTTCAGCAATTTTTTTTAATGATCAGATTTCCACCAAATGTACTTTACTCTTGGTAAAGGAATGGTAAAGACTTGCAATGTAAAGAAAACTCTTTCTTCGGTAAATCTGACATCTGTCAAAAGGAAGCTGGCACAACATGGGCTCTGGTGTCAGTGAAGTCTGTGTTGGGACCTGCAGCTGCAAGACTGTCTCTTTTGCAGGTGGGTGACCTGATGAAGCATTTGGCTACTTGACTTGGGCCCCAGTTAACTGGAGAATCCTCGTCTTAGAGTGCTTGTGAGACCTCAGCAGGCACAGTGCCTTGTACTTAACAGGTGCCGAATGAATTCCTCCAAGTTCTCCCCAACTTCACAATCACACCCGTCTCTTACAGCCACTGCCTTGAAAATAAACAAGAACTAAAACAAAGTAACAACTCTCTTTCTGAACTTCAAAATTATTTTAGTCGTTTTTAAAAAGTTAGGAAAAAATTAAGGAAAGACCTGGTTTTAGTTACCTCTGTATTCCCAAAACCAAGAACAGAATAGGTGATCAAGAAAAGCTAGAGCACTAAATGCATGTAATTAAGAATTTTACCTTATGAACTATCATGAAAATACATACTTGGTTTTTTTCCTAATTTCTTCTACCAGTTGTTTTATATGGTCCTCCATAAATTCTAGCTTTTCATTTTTCCGGGCATGTGCTTTCTGCAGCCTCACGATCCGCTCAATCAGCATGGCCTTGTCCACTTCTGGAAAGTTATCCACAGTTACTGAAGACCCGGTAGTTTCTGGAGATCGGTCTTCTACACTGCTTCTAGCATTAAGCGATCCTGCAGGGAAAATGTCAGTTTGGATATTGTACTTAGTCTAAAATCATTTCTCATCTCATAGATATGACTCATTTCAGTGCCATGTTTAAATATTCAATCTAACAGAGTTGGGAACAGAACCCAACACAGATCATGGTGGGTGTGAATTCTTGTTGCTGAATACACTGATGATAGAAGTATTAACAGGGCCTATTCTGTCTTTCAGAAACAGAAAACTCAAGACAAAGTCAGAATAATAGGTCTGAAACTAGCCCAAAATTAAGAGAAGTAATGAAACATCAAGCAGTTAAGCTCTGCCACCAGCCTCAGACCTCTCCCTCTCCTACACTGATCAGCTGTGTGATTTTGGACGTTATTTGACCCTCTGTACCTTGGTTACTTCATCTTAAAATGGAGAAAAAAAACATATTACTTACCTCATAGGATTTTTATCTTCATTCAAATGAATTAACATGTTATTATTATTTTTACCAACATCAGGCAAATTTCTGATCCTCTTTATCCTACACAAAGATATGTCTGTACAACCCATTTTATAGATTCAAGAGATGTAGTATATCTTATCCAAGGCCATACAACTACTAAACGACAGAGCTGAGGTATAACATCCTATGTGTAACCTCCAAGTCTGGGTTCTTTCTTCCACACAACTTCTTGCACTGATGGTGGTGGAGCCCTGGTGGAGCAGTAGTTAGGCACTCAGCTGCTAACTGAAGGGCTAGTGTTTGAACCTAGCAGTGACTCTGTGGGAGAAGATGTGGCGTCACACTCCATTGAGATGACAGTCTTGGCGATCCTGCGCAGCAGCTCTGCTCTGCCCACAGGGTCACTCTGAGTTGGAACAGGTTCAATGGCAATGTGTTTGTCTGCTTTCTATTGCTTTTGTTTAGTGTGGCAGTGACTCACAAGGATTCTTGAGTTCTATCAATGTGGACTTGTGCAAGTCATATAGTCACGCTGACCTTTGGCCTCCTCATCTGTCCAACAGGAATCACAGCACCTCCATCTCACACTCACCAGCTGCTCCTCAGAAACCCTACTTAGGGTCGCTAAGAGTCACTCAACAACACTAACATCAAATACCTCACGAGGTTGTTCTGAAAATAAATTATATGTATGTTCAAAGTATGGAGCCTGGTCCCTGGCATTGCAATAATGCTATTACTATTACATACTACTAAAAATAAAACATATTTAAGGGTACACTGCTATTTTCACAATGGTACCGATTGCATGTTATAGTCTCTACTCATTTTAAAGCTTTTTTACACCACAGACATATATATCATGAGAAAAGAGAAACAATTAAATACACAAACACACACACAAATATATATAATACTTAGTGATGCCCATTCATTAGTTCTTAGGTATTAAACGAATTGCAAAAAAGAGAAATATACCAAACTTCTTTATATGGTTGGATACAAATCTGAATTTAGAAATTAGAGGACAGAATGAAGAACTTATTGGAGAGAAGAAAGAAGCAGGTTTAACAAAATCCCAAGATAAATGCAAAACACAGGGTAGTGATTAGAAGGATTACATATTTGACAGGAATGTTTCTACAATATACATCTATACAATAAGCACTTCTTATAATGCAAAATTAAGGAGCTCTGGTAGCATAGTGGTTACGAATTGGGCTGGGAACCGCAAGGTCAGCAGTTTGAAACTACCAGCTGTTCCACAGGAGAAAGATGAGGCATTCTGCTCCCGTAAAGATTTACAGCCTCGGAAACCCTGTGCAGGGTCACTATGAGTTGGAACCGACTCCTCGGCATATAACAACAACAACATAATGCAAAACAGCACAAAAGCCTATCAGTACTACTGTTTCGCGCTGTTTCTTTTCACGGTCAGTTACTGAGAAGACCTAAAAGCATTTGTTCTTTTACCTGATGAACTGGAGCGACTCCCCATGCTGCTGACTTCTTTATCATAATTTCCATTTTCAACCTGATCTAATTTTCTCCGAGCTAAAGGCAAAAGAAGTAGATTATTTGTGGCAATTATTGTGATTTGCTCCTACCATCTCTCACTTGAACTGCTCAAGTCACTTAGGCAAACATGTCTTAGAAAACAAGAGAAAGTTCTAGAGTATATAATTCAGACAGGAGGGCTATAGTAGCATTTATATAAAATGGCATCTGAAAACGTATAGCTCAAATTGAAAACATATGGAAGCAACAAGACTACAATTCACCCAGGCTTCAACTCAGTTACGCAGAATTTAACTTTTGTAATTCAAGCTATTAGTGAGTCCTGAAAGATTCAAAAGATCCCAACAGTTCCAGAAAACCCTTCATTTTCATAAATTTCCTTTCATTTACATCAATATAAGAGCAAAGCTGTTGTTGTTAAGTGCCATCAAGTCAGTTGAGACTCACAGTGACCCTGTATAGTATTTCCTAGGAGGGGCTTGTGAGTTTGAACCTCCGACATGCAGTTCAAACCAACCTTGAGGTCAAGAGCTTATCCTATGGCACCACCCCAGGACTCGAAAGAACAAAATGAGGAATGGCAAGTATCTGAATATGTTCATATTATGGAAATGTTAACCTTCTGTGATTTTTAGGACTCTATTTCACTCTATTTGGGTAACACAAATAAAGCAACAGGACCACAGAAAATGGTACGAAGTCAGAATACACATCATATTTATCTCTGTATCGTACGCATGTAACACAGAGACCTAATAAAATAACATTTTTAATAAAGGAAATCTGGGTTCCAGTCCTAGCTGTTAGTTGTAAACCTTTCTGGGTCTCAGTTTTCTCCAAAGTGGGGTACAGATACAATTTATAGGGATGTGTAGGAAGAAAACATCAAAACTTACATTTAGTCTTAGCCTTTAAAATTTCTAGTTATATATGTGCGTGTGTGTATACTAAGGAGGTTTTAATCTCAAAGTAGGCAGTTCAAACTCACCAGGAGCTCCTCAGAAACCCTCTACAGGGTAGCTATGAGTCAGAACTGACTCGGTGGCACTTAATAACAACAACAAGGAGCCCTGGTAGCGTCGTGGGTTATGCCTTGAGCTGCGAACTGCAAGGTCAGCAGTTGGAATCCACCAATCGCTCCAAGGGAGAATGAGGCTTTCTGCTTCTATAAAGATTTACAACCTTAGAAATCATATACAGGATCGATATCAGTCGGAACAGACTCGCTGGCATAGCACCACCACCACCACCATATATATGTGCTAATGTACATAATATTGAATAGTATGTGCTTAGAATGTACTAATGCTGTTGTTGTTAAGTGTTCTTTATACCTTGCTGAAGTTGTTTGGTAAGATCTTTGATGCTAGAAGCATGTTTACGTCGGTGAGTTACTAATTCATCTTTTACTTCTTCTACCTGGGTGTTCAGTGTTCTAACTTCTGTTTGCCGACAAGTGAGTTCAGCTTGTAGTGCCTGAACTTCCTCTTTTCGCAGTTCTTCTGCTTTCAACAGTCTACTTTCCTGAGTAGTAAATAAAACAAAACACAGCCATTTTACTATCTTGCTCTTTATTTCTGTTACAGTTCACAGTTTCCAACCTAGACAATATGAGGCCCTTGATAGTAGAGTCCTGTCCATCAGCACTCCTGACCAGGTTTTGTTTACTGAGCTCTTGAGATTCCTCAGATATAACAGTGCAGGGAATACAGAAGAGATATACATGGACAACGTGTGATACGGATCTCTGAATTTGAGGCCTAAACTCTCAGAATTATTCTTATGAGTAATTAGAAAACACCCAGAACTTAGAAACATTAACCAAGTTTGAAACTGTAAAAATAAAACAAGTTTAAAATATCTATTCAAGATATATAGTGATTCTATTTGAAAATGACCACCACATGTCTGTCAGTTTGTCATAGCATCAATGGGCTCAAGCGTGGCAACAACAGTGAGGCTGGCCCAGGATCGGGCAGTGTTTTATTCTGCTGTCATAAGGTCGCTAGGAGTCGGTACTGACTCAATGGCACCTAACAACAACAACAACTTGAAAATGACCGAAATCCTGGATTACTTATTTTTCAAAAGTGAAGTACTTCTTCATAATCATTTTAGAAATCAAATGACATTATGTTACATCACACAAAAAGACAACTGACATTCCCACTAGCATCTGAAATGATGACAAAGTCAGAGCCAGTAGCGAAGAGCTTAAATCAACCACTGCTAAGTTTTTGCTGTTGGGAAAATTGAATTTGTGCCTCTTGCTATGTTTCTTCAAAAAGTATATTTACACTTACCAAAGTACTATTTGTCTGCTTCATTTGTTCACACTGGCTTTGTAACTGACTTTCACTACAGGAAAGCTTATCAAATTGGGACTGCAAAGAGTTGCATTCGGACTGCAGCTGTGCGTTCTTACTAGTCAGCCTTTCTGTGAATAGGAGGAGCTCAGACTCTCTTTTCCTACTGCCTTCGATGTCTTTTTGCAGATCATTAATCAAAGAATTAAGACTTTCCACATCTTCCTTCAAAGTTTCAATTTCTTGTTGACCACTAAAAAACAAAGTTTATATTTAAGGAAAATTTCAATTATTAAAAGACAAAAAATTAATAGCTTGGGAACTTTCATCTAACAAAATGCTTCCTACAGGTACTTTTATTGTGGTACTGTAGGAGTAGTATTGGATTGCTAACCACAAGGTAGGCAGTTCAAACCTACCAGCAGCTCCTAAGAAACGCTACACAGGGCCACTAGGAGTTGGAGCTAACTCAACAGCACTTAACAAGAGCAGGGGGTTAAAGTGCTTGGCTGCTACCTGAAAGTTTATAGGTTAGAGCCCACCAGCTGCTCCATGGGAGAAAGGTATGGCAGTCTACTTCCGTAAGTATTACCACCTTTGGAGACCTTATATGCTATGTGTTTTAGTTAAGACATGCCAGGAACTAACTGTTGGGGTATAGGTAAACAGACCCGCCATGGTCCCGGCTTTCCCAGAGTGTCTGCGTCAAGTATAGAAATTATGAACGTGCTATACATTTGTGATGATGACAGCACGGAGAGGCACTGAAGCTACTGTGGGTGGTGCTTACACTAACACCTACAGCCGGGGTCAGCATACTTCCTTGTGAAAGGCCACACAGTACACACTTTCGGCATCTGAGTCACAGCGTCTTTGTTGCAACAGTTCAACTCTGCTATTATAGCAGGAAGGCAGCCAGAAGTAATATGTAAGAAAGGAGTGTGGCTGAGTTCCAAGGAAACTTTATATTGCAAAGGCAGGTGCTGGACTGGATTTGGCTTGTGTGCCACAGTTTGCTGACCCCTGGTCTGGAAGAAACTCAGAAGTTCATGAGAGGACAAACTATGCTCCAGACAGAGGAAAGAGTAAGACCTCTTGTGGGTCAGGTTCGGTAGTTCACCAGCTGCTACTCAGAAACCCTATGCAGGGTCGCTAGGAGTCGGAACTGACTCAAAGGCATTTTGCAACAACAACAGCAGCATACTACAGAATCCAGGCTCTTCAAGAAACGTAATGAGTGTAGCTGAGCTCACTGGTTTTATAAGAGGTCAAGGAGAGATGCCAGTACCTGACCTTGAGCTACATGCATGCATATATATTCTAACTTTTAAACAAAGTATTGTGTATACATAACAGAATTTGAAGCTAAGGAAAAGACTAAATAAACCCATTCATTTATAAATTGCTACCAACAATGTTTAAGGTACATAGACTTTGATTTTTGGAAGGCATGATGGAAATGTAAAAATACTTCAAAAAAGTCAAATGCAGATAGGAATTTAAAAAATTTTTAAATAAAATTATTCTTGTTTAATAATCGCATTTAAAAGCAGACTTCTGAGATAAAATAAGGAAGCTTGGTGATTAGTACAAACAAAATTTGCTCATTTTTACCTTTGAAATTGCTCCTGAATCTGATCTGCAACTTTCAATTTGTCCAATAAATTCTGAATTTCAGCTTTTTGGCGATTAATAATTTCCTTGTATTTTGATAATTCATCTTCTGTTCTTAATCGCTCATCTTCTAGACATTTTACCTATGAAATGACCATAACCAAATTAAACTACAAACAATAATTCCTTGTTCTTTATAAACTATCTTAGACAGTGGTTATACAGTAATAATAATAATACTCTGAATCAATATTAGGTAAGATGAAGAAAATAAAATCATGAAGGACTGACACGGTGGCTGCAACGATGGGCTCAAGTACAGCAACAATTGTGAGGACAGCGCAGGGCCTGTTTGATGACACTGTCCTGTGAGTTGGAACCGACTGGACAGCACCTAGTAACAATCCCAAGTTTTAGTCTCAGATTTCTCATGGTTTCGTCATGCAAGTTTAAGCATGTCACTTTATTCTTTCTGAGTCTCCAATTCCTCAACTGAAAAGGGAGGACACTTCCCTACTCATTTCAAATAACTGGCCTGAAAACCAATAGGAAGGTATATAAAAACACCTTGAAAGTTATTAAGTACCTCAAATTTAAGGTGCTTACTTAAAAGCCTTATTCTAAAGCAAATGAACGATATACATTGATAATTCACATTTCACAGTCATAGTTAGATCCAAAAGACTAAAATAAAAACTGGAAAGAGTTTAATAGATGGTTAGAAATTAAAACTGACATGTCATCCAACTGTTTCTGACAGCCACAGTTCTTCGGGCCAACTATTAGTGAACTTTCTGGTGAGATTTCCTGTAGATCAGAGGTCCATGACCAAGTTATAATGCTCTGAAATAGGTCTGTTTGGCAAATACTTCAAAGGGACTGAAGTGAAGGACATTTCATTTCAACAAGAGTCCATTTTGTTGCCGCTCCAATCCTCTGAGTTCTTTCATTTTGGAAAACTTGCATATATATAAATATATAAGTATCTTTTCCCCTCCATTTGAAAAATCAGTATGAGTTCAAAACTAAAGATAACATTTATCCTTCCTCTGTGATTAAAACTAATTACCTTTGTTTTCAATGTTCGCAGCTCATCCATGCCCTCCTTAAACGTCCTCTTTAGATCTTCCAGTTCCTTTATTTTGGCATGGTGCATCTTTTAAGAGGTTTAGAAGAAATCATAAATCATTATGCACTAAACCACATTTAACATGTATTGCTTGCTTCTTTCAAAAAGCCTTAAAACTCGATACCAATAAGTACATCTAGAGAGCAGTGCTCGTTTTCTGTGTTTATTACACAATCCAGGGCACATCAAGAGCAGAACTACTCACCTCTAACTGGTCCGATTTTTCTTGCATTTGTTTTTCAAGTTCTCCTTTGGTGACTCTGAGCTTGGCATCAAGCTCATTTGATTTAATTTCCTCTGACTCCTAATGAAAAGGTACACATAACTTAAAATTGTAAGGCTTTATAACTTTTAAAAGTAAAGAAAGCTTTACAACTAAGTTTTCTAACTGTGAAGTTCAGAGCTTGTTATTTATCTAAAAATCGATCATACTGAAAAAACTTAAATATAACAAGTTTGCATGACCAAGGGTAACATACTTAAGACACGTAAGTTAACACAGAGTGGTTTTTTGGTTGTTTTAAGTTCTATTATTTCCTTGCACTCTTCATTCTTCTGACATTTTCTAGTGGTTTCATTTGGTTGAATACTTCTCTTCGAGCTCTATTTAAACTGCAGGCTTTTTCTTAAAGCAAATAATCTGTTGTATTTAACTGCCCTGCCAAATCCATTCTATACTTCAAACACTGCAGATGCGGAAGTTTAATGAACCAAGACCTCTGAAGTTTAACATAATTATCACCAGTCGATTTGAAAAGTAAAGCATACCTGATATGTCTTTATCATGTCCTGACAGTTTTTTCGTATCTGTTCTGCTTCTTCCTTTGCTTGGGTTAACTTTGTTGTTGTTTCTCTGAGTTTATCTTTGGTTTCCTGAATTGACAAAAAGACATTGCCACAGCTGGTCACAAGGAAGTGATGAACAGTAACCATGGAGTAGGAAGAGTTCTTGTGTCAGTACTGCCAGTGAGGGGTTGGATACAATTCTAATAATAATACTGGATTTCTGCCACAACTAAATATTGTGTCCGCAGTTAACTGATAGCCATTAAAGTTTTTGTTAACTTTTAAACAAGTTTCTAAAAGCGATTCACTTCCATCTGATAAGACAACAACAACAAAAAGCAGTGTTAAACAATTTTTTCACATGCATTTAAAAAAAAATTCATTTGATGACTATAATATCAATTCAGATTGTCATTTCAGAGAGGTATGCTGCAGTTTGATTTCTGTTCCCATACTGATGGTTCTCATCAAATCCAATGACCTTTGCTGGGTTTTGGCTAGCTTACCTTCTCCAGGTGACACTTCTGACCACCAGGGTTCTTTGACTGTTGCCTTCTCTGTCTCCTCCACAAGCTTCCTACTGTCTATGGAGAGCTCTAAGATACAGCCTGGTCCTGTAGCTCTGTCTCCATAATTCATCTGCAGATGATTCATCCAGCCCCACGGTTTTGGCTATCATCTGGATTTCAAGGGAGAGTTTAGGTGTCCCAGCCTCCTGGTAGCTTTCCCTGGTGATTCCTTAAGACAGGGCTAGATGCTGCTACTCTGCCTTCCCATCAGCAGACTTGAGAGTATCCATCCCTACATTGGAATAACGGATACACATACTGGTGCTTATCTGCTTCCTCCATTAAGCACAGAGCTTCAGGACAGCAGGGCCTATGCTTTCTCCTTGTATCAGCACCCATTTCAGTTCCTGCCTTTTACTGCTTAGTTAACATCTGTTAAATGAATGAATCCTGCTGAGGCGCTGTGGGGTAATGCACTAGACCGCAAGATCGGTGGTTCAAATTCACTAGCCGCTCCTCAGAAACCCTATACAGGATGGCTATGCATTGGAATCCACAGTGCTTAACAACAACAACAACAACGAATAAAGGAGTATCTAACACAGCCTTCTGCCCTAGTTCAGTAGGGCCCAGGGCGAGCTCTTGGAATAGTCCTTTCTGGTGGTTCTTTCCGTGTTTCTGTAGTTTCTTTGGAAACGTGCATTGACCATACACGCACTGGAGACTTGAGGCTGTGACACCCACTGCAGTTTTCTGGGTCTTTTTCTTCTCTGGTCGTCTGCCCTGCTCCCCCCATACTCTGAACTCTGTCTCTTTAATGCAGGGCAGGAGTTGGGCTCTGCCTGGTTTCCACTCCTGACACTGCTTCATTCATTTCCCTTTTCTTAGGGATCACTGTCCTATACTGTTTACGTCTCATGTCTGGAAACTTCTGTCCTGCTTCTGTTTTTTAAGATGCAGGTGTAAATCTGGTCCCTGTTACTCCATGAGACAGGCCCAGAACATAATTAATCTTGTATCCTTTGACCCAGGGCCTCTCTTATCCACCAGGTAAACACAGAGGTAACCTAGCTCCATCCCACACTTTGAAAGCACATACTTTGACTGATAACGCTTTCATATCCTCTGCATTATTTAGTACTTGTGTTGTGGACACACATAGACCCACTAAACACTTGTTGTTGTTAGGTGCTGGTGAGTCAGTACCAACTCATAGACACTTTATGCACAACAGAACGGAACACTGCCCAGTCCTGCGCTGGTTCATAAATGCCTTTACTTAAAAAAGAACTGGCACATTTTAAACTCCATGTAGCAGGTCAATGTATTTGTTACTCCCATTGACTAACAAACCACACCTTGCAACCTTATAGAAGTCAACCTGAAACCTCTCCTCTACCCTACTTGCAGAGGTTTGGTTTCACCTGATCTCAAAGTTGCCATTAAGTATGTTATTGTGGTTCCCTGAACACAGGAAATCTCTAGAATCTGTAACTCTTCAATGTTCGTACTCTTCATAGGCTTCAGTGTCCTGTCTCTTGGGAGTACACTTGAAGATGAGGAATTACACAGACACTAGGTGTGACCAAATCTTAAGTTCACATCTTGAAACAACTCATGTAGTTAGCAATCTTCATGGATTTAAAATTTTTCATTCTGTCAAACCAAAGTCAGGGAAATGTCTCAGCAGTTTCTAACCATGTGTGAGCACCAGGAATTGTCCTGCTTCCTCCCTTCTGATAGTTCTTTTGGTAGTTTCCTTATACTCATAACGTAACTGACCACTAGTCTGTTAACAATTTGAGGAGAAATCCCTGCTCTCTAGCCGATCTTTGACCACTGACAACAGAGATAATTCGCCCTACAGTTTTTTTCTGATAATACTAGATGCAAACCGTCAAAGGTTATTAAGAGTCCAAAGAAGACAATACATGATTATGGTTCTCAACACAACCAGGAGCCTGTTTTTAACAAGGTGGAGACTAGTACTTCCATAACAAGACTCTTGTAGTTTCAGCCGTATTTCAGAGTTGATCTTGACCTTCACCTTCTAATACCTTCTGATTTTTATCCCCTCTTATTTCAACTCAGTTAATGCTTCAAATGACAGCTCCAGGTACTAGCCTTCGTTTTTTATTTTGCTTTATTTTTCATTGTATTTATTTATGATATTAAATAGGTAGAATACAAATGGGATTATATTCAATTCATACTAAAGAGATAAAGAAATTTACTCTTAAAATATTATATTCAGAATTATATTTAAATAAGTAATATTTCTTGATAAGAATCTTAGCATCTTTGATAGTTTTAAATTTTTTCAATTTTCTCTCTACAGATTACCAAACCTGGAAATGTTTAATGTAAAATGCAATATGCAAAGACACTTAAAGAATCAGGTTAATTTGGGGTTATGCATAATGAATGATAAAACTTAACATGTCAACTAATTTGATATGAAAAACAAGGAACTATTTCTTTTACAAACATCCAATAATCCAGCCCAAGTGATCCTATGTCATTAACTGTTTCTGTAATTGTTCTTAAACTGATTCTAGTAAAGATCTGATTATCGTACTTACCTTGTGTGAATCCATTTCAGCTTTTAATTTGTTTTGTGCCCATTTTACTTTAATGATGTGAGAGTTGACATCTTCTTTTAATTTGTCTACCTCTCTGGTGAGCCTAGCTGCTTCGCCTTCCTAAAATAATATCACCAGGTCATATTTTTCATGTAAACAATCAACCAACTATTCAAAATAATCAATGCAATGACACTATAATTTCTGACCCATCACCCATTTTTTTTAACAACTCTCTTACATTTTTAAATGATTGGGGGGGGGGATCAAATGAAAAGCACAACAGTATTTCAATGACACATGAAATTTATATAAAATTCAAATTCCTATGTCCACAAATATACTTTCATTGGAAAATAATCATCTTTACTTAGTGTCTACAGCTGTTTTCCTGAATAAGGGCCAAGCTCAGCAGAAACTATATTTCTTGCAAGCCAGTATTTCCTATGTGGCCCTTTACCTAAAAAGTTTGCTGACTCTGCAATCCATTTTACAGTAAATCCAAAGAAATCTCTTTGACAAGCTTTTTATAAAACCAAAAGCCCAAATCATTCCAATAGCATCTAATATCTATGCTGTACATTAAAGTACAGATATTAGATGCCATTGAGGAAAAGCTTTTTGCGTTTTTAATTTCATAGTCACAAACCCAAGTGGCAATTTTAATCATTCATATCTTAGTTGCCCCACCCCACAGGTAAAAAGATCTCTTTTTACAACATCCCCAGAGAGACAACTGCTCCTTGGTTTGTGATGATAATCTTGGTGAAGTTTTCCAATCTCTTTTCCACAATTTATTATTCTTTTGTAAAGATGTCTTTTACCCTTCTTGAAAAGGCTACATTTCTACTTTTCTATTTATGCTATTGCATTCCTTCAAACTACAGATAGCCCAAAAGTTACTTTTGTTATTGTTGCTAAGTGCCATGGAGTCTATTCCAACTCCTATTGTAGAGGGTGTCCAAAGCTTTAAAGCTTCATGGGAGCAGAAAGGCTTCATCTTTCTCCTTCAGAGCAGCTGGCGGGTTCAAGCTTCACACCATGTGCTTACCCTATAGGGTCACTGCAACCCAAAATTTATTTTAAAGCTATCTAAAACGGATTTAAAGTTCAAATCGTAAGAGCACAGTAAAATAGCTACATCCAGCCATTAGACATAAAGATAGCTTACATTTGTATTTTAACCAGTCAGATGTGTTTTGAGCATAAATTTTTTTTTATGATTCTTCCCACTGACTGACATTAAGGTAGAAAAGGAATTAAATTTGCTTTGTCAGAATTCATGGGAATAACAATATTTCTGAATTAAAACTTAAATGTTGAATTGTGTCCTAAGAAATATGCGTCAACATGGCTGGGCCAGATTCACATTGGTTTGGCAGTTACGTAATGATGTAATCATCACCTCCATGTGATCCAATGTGATCAGCTCTGATTTGATGTAATTATCCTGTTGTAGAACCTCATTTCTACAAAGATGAGTGAAAAATTATCTACACTCTAGCTGTAGATTTATTTTAATCCACAAATACATCATTTTTCAACATAATATCCTTGTTTTTTTAATACACTTTGTCCATCTTTCAACAAGCTTTCATAGTCCCTTACTAAAGAATGTTTCAGGTTGAGCTGTGAGCCACGAATGCACCTCTGTCTTCACTTCTTCATCAAAGGTCAATCTTCATCCTTGAAGGGCTGCTTTCAGGGGACCACAAAGGTGAAAGTCCGATGGAGCAAGAGCAAGCTCAGGACTCTCGGGAAGATGCTTTAACAATTCCAACAGTATGGGTAGAGGTGTGCAGATGTGCCCTTGGCAGCAGTCCTGGGCGTTTAAAGCCAAGTTTAAGCTTCAGCTCTCCAGCGAGCACATCTCACTGTAACAAGCACTGCTGATTATTGCATTTATTCCAGTGTTCTAATACTGGCCCTTGAGCAGTTTCCTCTCAGGCTTATAGTGATGAATCCATGTCTTGTCACCAGTAACAGATTTTTCTAAGAAACTTTTACTTCCTTTGAGTATCAGTCTAAATTTGTTTGCAGATGTCTAAATGCTTCTGTTTATGCTCTTCTGTGAGATGTTTTGGTACCCGTCTTGCACAAGCGTTTCGAAACCCAAGTCTATAGTGGTTGATTTCAGAGGCAGAGTTAGGGCTCATTTGCACATGATGTGCCACATAGTCCACAGTCATCTAATCGACAGGAGCATCTCACATGCATGTTTGATGCTGCATCAGTCATGGACGTGGACGGGCATTTGAATATAATCAGAGTGCTGATAATTTTTGAATCACCCTCATATGAAGCTGGATGCAATCTCCAGGATTATAATGTAGCTTATAGAAGAGATTAAACAAGCAAGCAAAGTTTAGAGCAGGGGTGGAGAACATCTGGCCCTTGGGCCATAAAAGGCCTGAGAGAGCATTTGGTGTGGCCCTGCCAAGAGACCCGCAGTCCCAGCCACTGCATAAAGTGGTGAATGAATGCAATGTTTGACCAAATATGTTGCTGTTGTTAAGTGTTGTCAAGTCGGTTCTGACTCATTGTGACACTGTATAGGGTTCCTGAGGAGCAGCGGCTAACCTTGTTGTTCAAAATCTAGTGCTGATCCTACAGCGCCACACCAGGAGTCCCTTGACTAAATATAGCACACTCATTTTTAAGTTGATAATTTTGTATGGTCCACGAATGATGTTAAAAATTTGGGCAGAAAAAAGGTTCCCCACCCCTGGCTTAGAGGATCCTACTACCACCAAGAAAGAAGAGCTGGAAGAAGAACACATTCTTTGAATCTGGTGCCTCTGTCCTGGGCAGCTCCTAGAGCCAGAGGAAGACTGGTGCCAAGACGCATAGCGATCTCCAAGGAATGTTGAAATGCTGAAGAAGATAAGGGCTTTGTCTCCAGTGCCAACAGAGAGAAAGCTTTCCGTTACAGCACTCCGAATTTGCACTTCTAGCCTCCTAAACTATGAAAGAACTTTCTGTTTCCTGAAGCCATCCAGTACCAGGAGCGCAGGGTGCTGCTCTAACAGATACCTAAAACGTGGGAGCGATTTTGGAATTGGATAATGAGCAGAGGCTGGAAGAATACTAAGGTGCCTAATAGTAGATGCCTAGATTGCCTGGAGAGGAGCTTTGGTAGCATTACGAATCAGGCTGAGAACCACAAGGTCAGTAGTTCTAAACTACCAGCTGCTCTGCAGGAGAAAGATGAGTTGTTCTGCTCCTGTAAAGATTTATAGCCTCAGAAACCCTGTACAGGGTCGCTGTGAGTCAGAAACGATGCCACGGCACATAGCCAGACTGCCTGGAAGAGAGGCTGTAGTTGGAATTACTTTTATTCAAGGCAGTTCTGATGAGGGCTCTGAAGGCAGTGAAGAGAGCTGTAACGCTGGAGAAGCTGGTGCAGACGGGAGAAGCAGAGGCAGGGATACTCAGTAGCAGAACTAGGAGACCCACCCAAGAGGGCCTGGGAGCTGACCTCTGGGTACCCACAGGGTGAATCCTTAGCCTCTGAGAATCCTAAGGGTAAGGCCACATTTTCTGAAATTTCAGAGTCGGATTTCCACTAACTAGGTTCCCGAATATCGTGCTGCTAAGATGGGGCTACTGCTCAAAGCAAAGGGGAGGCAAGTTATGCATCAGGCTGCTAACCACAAGGTCAGCAGTACAAATCCACCAACTGCTCCAAGGGAGAAAGATAAGCCTTTCTACTTCTGTAAAGATTTACAGCATCAGAAACTCTATACAGGGTCACTGTAACTAGGAACCCACTGAACAGCACATAACAACAACATGCATATCAGCTTTACTGTTTTTGCTTCTCCAGAGAACCAAGACAAAGACACTTGTTGTCAGGTGCTGCCAAGTTGGTTCTGACTCACAAAAGAACGAAACCCTGCCACTGACTGTTATCGTTGTCAGGTTTGAGCCCATTGCTGCTGCTACCGTGCCAATCCAGCTCACTGCGGGTCTCCCTCCTTTTCACTGACCCTCTACTTTACCGAGCATGATAGTCTTCTCCAGGACTGGTCCCTTTTGATAATACGTACTAAGTATGAGAGACATTGTCTTTTGAATCTTGGTTTCCCTTGCCTACCACTGTAAAATAGACACTTGAGGAGAAGAGACAGGAATAGCCAGAAACATCACAACAGAAGCTTGTAAGTCCGTCTTTAGCTTATAACTGATTGGAATACTTTAAAGGGGGCTAGAACTTGCCTAGTGAAAGAGGCTTCCTGCCGAGTCTTTGTATTGTATAAGACCATAGGTGGAATCCTGAATCTCATCTAGAATCTTCTGAGGTGGGAAATTTCCACTTGAAAAGACAAGTAGAGCAGCCAGCCTGGAGTGGCTAGAAGAACAGACGATACTTTATAACAGAAAGACCGGCAGGAAACATCACAAACAATGACGGCAATCTGACTGACGGACTACGACAAGAACAAGCAAGTGTTCACATGGAAGCCAGCAAGGCAAGTGCTCGGGTCCCCTCACAGCAAACCCCCTTCCAAGACTAAGACTCAAAGGGAATGTATTAGCAGGCATGTGGTCTGGCTGGTGACTACGTTGGTCACCGATAAGGGGAAGTGAAGAAAAAACAGCAATGAAGTTGAGATAAGTCCGACCACGTTCAATAGACTCCTGTGAACCTGGGTTGAGACCTGGTTGGCCAGAAGTATGGTAAGACCTGGGGATCCCTGGGCCCAGAGACAGTGACATGGCCACAAAGGACTAGAGTGGAGAGTGAAGCATCCAGCTGATATATAAAGTTAGGGGAGATGCCCAAGAACACCCAAACTTGCAGACAGTACCCACTTGACCTGGCTTCAATGGGTGGATGATCAGATCTTGACTAGAAGAAAGAAGAGGAAAAAAAAAGAGTAATCCGCTACAATTTGATGAACTTGGCCTATACTTATGGATATAGTAGCTCAAAAGAGGGAACAAATCTTTACAGCAAGGATCATTGTCATCCCCTCAATACATAGGTTGACAGGGATGGGCAACTTAAACATTGACTACCCAAAATGGGGGGGCTATAAAGGCAAGAAGTGACTGGCTTACAAACTTTCAGGAGGGAGCCTAGTTCCAGAGGGGGTGGGGGAAGGTAGAATCTCCACTAAATGGTTTCTAATCTGCTGGGACGGCGCCGATGAAAGGAAATGGGGATAGGACTCTTGTGGTATACAACAGTGAATAATTGCTATCAGGACTGACTGTAGGGGCCAGAAATGTAAAGGTAGATGTTCTGCAACAAAAAGAGGGGAGTGGTTGATTTTGCGGTCTAGGAGTGGAGGACCCTGGGACCATCAAGGGAGAAGAGCAGAGTGCGGGACCCTACCCAGAGAAGCAGTGACGCCAGAAATGGAGGCAGAGATGATGACATGGAGAGATGGAGCAGCTAAGGACTTTGGACTCAGGAAGGGAGAGGGGCTGTGTGTTGATGGCTGGGGGGCAAGCTTGCAAGGGGTGTACCCTTTGGTTATTTGATGATGCATGGAGGGGATTATAATCATGGCAACAAAACAAAATATGATAGGATGAATGTAAAGCTGGTGTTCTCCCATGTAAATGATCACATAATTCACAATAAACAGTCAAAAAAAAAAAAAAAAAAGCATGAGAGACACAGTCTGGCCATCTTGGCTTCTAAGGAACACTATGGCTATACTTCCTCCAAACCAGATCTGTTTGATCTTCTGGCAGTCCACAGTACTTTGAATATTCTTATCCAACACCATAAACTCAAATGTATCGATTCTTCCACTAGCTTACTTATTCATTGTCTAACTTTCACATGTATATGAAACTACGGACAATATCTTAGCCCTCAAACGGACATCTTTGCTACTGAACACTTTCAAGAGGTCTTGTGCAGCAGATTCACCTGATGCAATACATCGTTTGATTTCTTGACTGCTGTTTCCGTAAGTGTTGACGGTGGAGCCAAACAAAATGAAATCTTTGACAACTTCAATTTTTTCTCCATTTATCATGATGGTCCAGGGGCAAGGATTTTTGTCTTCTTTACATTGAGGTGCAAAGTATAACAAAGGCTGTGGTCTTTAATTTTCATCAGTTAAGTATCTGAAGTCCTCTTCGCTTTTAGCAAGCAGGTTGTATCATCTGCATATTGCAGGTTATTGATGAGTCTCCTCCAATCCTGATGCCCTGTTCTTCTTCATATAACCCAGCTTCTTGGATTATTTGCTCAGCATACAGATGGAATAAATACATTGTGAAAGAACATAACTCTGACGCACACCTTTCCTAATTGTAAACCATTCAGCATCCCCTTGTTCTGTTCAAACAACTGCCTCTTAATCTATGTACAGGTTCCTCATGAGCACAATCAGGTTTTCAGTGGCTAAACATTTGGAAGTAGTTGATCTCTTCTCCATAGTCTTAGTTTGGAAGCTCAGCTGAAACCTGTCCACCACGGGTGACCCTACCTGCATTCAAAACACCAGTGGCATAGTTGCCAGCATCACAGCAACACGCAAGCCACCACAGTGCCATCAACTGACAGATGATTACTGGAGAAAATAATTACTAACTAAAAACTAGCACTCATCACCAAAAAAAATGGTAACAGAGCAGAAGCAAGACCATGCTAACAGCCAAAGTTCTGTATTACTTAGTAATCAATTATGAGCCTTAGCCAGGCTAAAAGAAATATAGGAATTTGTTCTGAACAGTTTTCCCACTATGGTCCTGGCTGAATTATACTTCCAACCCTAAGATTTTTCACATTTGACAGTATTAGATACATATTTTACCAAAATAAAATCTTTCCTTGAGGCAAAAACTCATTTCCCCAATGTCTGATTTGTAAAAAAAAAAAAAAAAAAAAAATTTTTTAAGGGTTTATCAAGTAAAAGCCTGTTGTTGTGTGCCGTTGAGTCAATTCCAACTCATAGTGACCCTGTATAGGGTTTCCAAGGAGTGGCTGGTGAGCTTGAGCCACCAAGTTTGTGGTTCAAACTGACTTTACAGTCCAGTGCATTAGCACACAGGGCCGCACCAGGGCTCCAAGTAAAAGTTAAAAGTTATCTAATAAGTAAAAGTTCATTGCAGACAGGTAAACTATGTAATATACCAATGTAACAGTATATTAAATATACCAAGATATTAGAAATACTACAATATTTACATTCTTCAAAAGTAAACGAATAAAAACAACTTCATGCTTAAGGGTGTTTGAACAAGTTAAGTTACAATTATTTGATTAAGTAAGGAAAAGCACAGAGGACACATTTCAAATAATGAACAACAGCCCAGGTTATACCTTTGCTTCAAACAGCTGGTGCAACCTTCCTTTCTCCTGAGAAAGCTGTTTAATTTTGTTAGTGTTTTTCTCAAACTCCTTATTTGCATCTCTCAGTTTTCTCTCGAGTGTCTCTCTCTCCTTGCGAAGGTCTAAGGACTCCTTCTCACCTCTCACATACTTCATCACCATCGCTTCTTTCTCTTGGCGTGCCTCTTCACATTTTCTGTTGACCTTTGAAAAAAATATGACTGAACAGTAATAAAAATACTTCTCAAATAATAAAAATAAATCGAAAGATTTTCTGATTATATCATGAACGTATTTTTTGGTTACTGCACAACAATCCCAGGAATTCATCATACAATTTTTGAAATAAAAGGGAAAAAAAATGAAATTCTAGTAAAACGGTCCAATCAACAATAAATTAGTATCACCAATACGTGCTTTTACCTTTTCCTATTGGTGTGGTATTGTAGGATAAGCACTGGACTGCTAATTGCCAGGTCGGCACTCCTCAGAGGTCAGATGAGGCTTTCTGCTCCAATAAAGAATGAAGCCTCAGAACCCTATCCCAGGGCACCGCGAGCCAAAACGGACAGCAGTAAACAACACTCCATTTACGTGGGCTGACTTGGGTGCTCCATCCCACTTAATCCTCCACACTGTTATACAAGGGATGGGACCTGGACCACCCTGGGGACACTGGCCAGTATACACTGGGGACAGGAGTTAGAGAGAAAACCTGGAGCACAGTGAGGTGTGGGAACAGAGATCTGTTATCCCAACCCCACTCTGCACAGACGTACAAATAAGCGCTAGAACCTCCCAAAGCTTCCACCTCCCACAAAAGGGTGGGCTCCAAAAGAGTCCTCCTCCTGAACAAAGGTACCTAACAGGGGAACTCTATTTCATGTGGGGAGAGGGGGAAAGGCAAGGGCCAAGTTATCAAGTTCCTGAGACTTTATAGCCACAGCTCTATGCATCTTGAAATTTGAGGTTCAAATTCATTCTACCAATCTGATCTGAGAAATGGGGAAACTTCAACCTGGAAAATTAAGTGATGGCATACATGTGGAGGGGGAATGTGGGGAGAGGGGCCTGTGGGACAAAAGATGGGCTGGACAGAGATGGGGCAGGGTAGGGGACTTTCACTTTGTAGTCTGTCTACATTCTTTATTAGAATTTTCCAAATTAATATGTATACATGTATTAGTTTGGCACTTCTAGAAAATGTTAATTTTTGTGTAAATGAAACTATTACTCAATACACCATTACTGTCCAAAATGCTCTAGCAGGTTTGTTGTTGTTGTTGTTAAGTGCCATCAAGTTGGTTCCAACTCATAGCAGCCCATATAAGGTTTCTGAGGAGCATCTGGTGAGTTTGAACCTCCAACTTTGCAGTGCACACCGACCTCGTGGTCCACTGCTTATCCTACAGCACCACACCAGTACTCCCTAGCAGGATTAGTTTACTTTAATTAACAAAAAAGTCATGAGATTATCAAGTTAACGATGACAATGATGTGAAAAATACCTGTTCCACCCGATGGGCCATCTCCCTGTGTAACTGCTGAATTGCATTTTTAGCTGTAATATCTTGAGCTACTAATTTATCTTTGGAAGCTTTGACTTCTTTATTAAGCTCTTCTAGTTTTGATTCCAACTGTAAAGAAAATGATTTCCATATTATTTTTATAGCTATAGCAAACAGACCACTACTAACTGAAATGCATATAAACAGTGTAAATAAACACGAAGTAATGAATATAGAAATTAGTATCAAATGTTAACATTTCTATATCTCACTGGAAACAATTAGTATCGCCTTGAAGCAGATCCTGATAAATTAAGATGTATATGTAAACTCTAGGGCAACCACTAAGGAAATAATCGCAAGAGCAGTGAAAAATCATTAGTAAAATAGACACTCAATGCAAACAAAAGCAGAAAAACAATAGAGTCGATGTAGCGATAAAATGAAGAAAATCCTGCTATATCAGTTTTCTTGTTAAAAGTGTAACATTTTCTAAATTCTAGCAAAAGAAAGGAAAATCCTATTTTCTCGTAAAAGAAGACACCACCAACGAGCTCAAGAAAGGAACAGCTCTGGTTTCCTCCTCATTTGTTTAGTGTGACATTTCTGCTCATCACCAAAATATGGGTCCAGTCTCTTTCTAAGGTTTGTTCACTCTTTAAAGTTCTAAATTTCATCTATATGGCATAGAAATAAAAATCAGGGTTTAAATATATGGTATTGTTTCTTGTTGTTAGGTGCCATCGAGTCAGTACCAACTCATAGCGACCTTATTTTACCCTCAAATTGTTTTCAACTCATAGCAACCCTGTGCAAAACAGAATGAAACACTGCCCGGTCCTGCGTCCTCCTCACACCATACCGCTGGTACACTTAAGCCCACTGCCGCCGCCACTGGTATGTTCCACTGTAGGCAATATTCTGATGCCATCTGACAGTGCTCCACTGCTATTCCTAAGGTTTTCAGTGACTAAACATTCAGAAGTAGTCCTTCTCTCCTTCTTCCTAGTCTGTCTTAAGTCTGAAAGCTCAGCTGAAACCTGTCCACCATGAGTGACCCTGCTGGTATTTAACATACCACTGGCATAGCTTCCAGTCTCACAGAAACACAAAAGCCACCACATAGGATTTTACAAATATAGTTACATTTTAACTATCTGGTGGTGGTGATGTGCCATGAAGTCGGTTCTGACTCATAGCCACCCTGTAGACATTTTCCGAGGCTGTACATCTTTACAGGAGCAGAAAGCCTCATCTTTCTCCTGCAGAACTGATGGTAGTTTTGAACTCCTGACCCTGAGGTTAGCAGACTGATAAATAACCATGCTACCAGAACTCCTTTTCTAACTATCTAGAAATGTGTTAAGTATTCCAAAGCATAAGTGAAACTTGGTTTAATTTTACTGACATTACCAATGATTTGCCATGGATTTCATTAAGTAGCTTTATGTGAATGACAGGGCAGAAGGAAAGCCTCTGAAAGTTGGATTGCTTCTCTCCCATACACAGAAGAAAATCCAGCTTAGAAAGATGAAGGAGCAGCTCTGTTTTACTACCAGTCTGGGATTCATTTTGCTGACCCACGGAGCAGAAGAGTATATGGCAGAAGCCAGAGAGAGAAAGGAGGAGCGGGAGAAAGAAAAGAACAAGGCAGACTGGGGAAGACAACTAGTCAGATCAAATCTAGATTATAAGAGCCAATCTTCACAGTATAGTTAACAACAACAACAAAAAAAAAATGGGGGGGGGGACAGATGAAACCAAATTAAACTATAAGCTTTAAAAGAATTCTAATATCAGATATAAACTTTAAAGTATAGTGCTCCTTCTCCATAATTGACAAAAGCAGTATGGCTAACTATCAAATCAAATTATGTCTTTATTTCCCAGATTTCTATATTACAGAATATAACCACACACACTGTATAAAACTCTAAGTTTGCACAAAAAATTAGGAAATGCTTTTCCACTTTACAAAAGACAGTGCTTTAAATATCAAATAATTCTCTGCATTTAAAACAAAACTTAACTTTCAGAACGTCAATTTATACATGCATTTATTTTATAAATGAAGATATGGACTTAAATGATTTTTGTCTTTTTACCTGTTTAATTGTGCTCATATGCTGTTTCTCTGTTTCTGTTCTTTTTTTTAGTTCTTCTCTTAAATTGTCTTTTTCTGAGCAAATATCTATAATGAGCTCTTGATGTCTCTTATTTTCTTTAATTAATCTAAAATACATAAAGGGTAGTATAGGTAAAACATAAGTAAAAATGAAGATAAAATGAGATGTGGAATTGAATCTTCAGATTGGGGTATAGAGATAGGTTTGATTTATAAATCAACATTCTTAAATCATTTTTTAACTTGGCCAAACACTCTCTGGCCAATAAGACTATTATCATTTTCCTAGAAATTTGTGTATTTCAAATTAATGAAAATATTCATTCACATTAAGAAAAGCGCAGCGTTATATATAACTATATGCCTCTGGGAATCTCATCTCTTTATATCAACAGTTCTGAATCAGTATCAATTTTGCTTCCCAGGGCACACTGGACCACTCTAGACACTTGCCTGGAAAGATTTCTGGTTGTGAGCCTCTGGAGGTGGGAGGGGGGAAGCTGGCTACTGGTATCTAGTGGGTAGAGGCCAAGGTTGCTACTGAATACCCTTTGCTTTCTTCCTATATGATGTTCTTGATGTCATCTCATAACTCTTCTGGTCTTCAGTCTTTAGTGTCTAATGCATCAGGTCTTCCATATAGGCTTATGAATATTATCCTATTATAGAGAGTGTTGTACTTCAAATAGATCTTGAAATGTTCTTTCTAATGATTAATGCAACGCCATTCCTCTTCAATATGTTGTTCCAAGCACAGGAAACCATATGAATGTCAGATTTAAAATGGCCAATACCAGTCCATTTCATCTCACTAATGCCTAGCATAAAGATCTTTATACATTTCCATTTCATTTTTGACAACTCTGAATTGTCCTAGATTCATAATTCGTACAGTCTTTGTTTCAATTATGAATGGATGTCTACAGCTATTTCTTCACATTTTGCGTTGTGCCACACCAGCAAATGAAGGTCCTAAATATTTACTCCATTCACATCATCACGGACAACTCTACTTTGAGGAGGCAGCTTTCCCCAAAATTCTGAGTGCCTTCCAACTTAACCCCATCCCTCTAGTTCTTATGATTAGTAGCCTTACACCTCAGAAATTAGTTGGTGAAGATCTGACAGTCTGAATCCTAAAAGGTCGTGGCCCCTCCTTTCAGAACCCAGAGGTTGTGATTGTCTGCTTTGAGACTGAGCTTTGGTTTCTGCTTTTGTACCCCCTGACCCTTTGTGCCTCTAGGGCAGGCCTGGCCTTCCCCACTGGAACAAGTGTTATAAAGATCTTAAGCTCTACCAATAAATGCCTGGAGGCACTCATCCACCACTAAGACTTGGCTCAACTGTGCTCAGTTCTTTTGATGTATGGGGTCAGCAAGCACAGCCCCACCAAGTGCCCTGAGGCACCCGAGATACCAGGGGTGGAGGAAGTCCATCAGAGGGCCATATTAAGGCGAAGTCATTTGGTCTGGTGCTGCCAAGGCAATCACAGTTCCATCCAGCACATTATTGGTGTTGTTGTTGTTAAGGGCCATCAAGTCTGTTCTGACTTGACGGCTGGTGAATTTGAACTGCCAACCTTGCAGTTCAAACCCACCTTACAGTCCAGTGCATTATCCTGCAGCACCACACACTTATTGTTCGTTAAGTGCTGTCGAGTGGGTTCTGATCCATTGCGATCCTGTATAGGGTTTTCTAGGAGCAGCTGGTGAGCTGGAACCATTGACCTTATGGTTCAAACTGACTTTACAGTCCAGCACATTAACCCACAGCACCACACCAAGACTCCATCACATTGTTGTTGTTGTTATTAAGTGCCGTTGAGTCGGTTCCGACCCATAGTGACCCTGTAGAGGGTTTCCACATTAGGGGTGAGTTAATAAAATGTTTGACCAAATATAACAAACTAATTTTTACGTTGATAATTTTGTATGGTCTGAGAATGACGTTATAAAGTTTGGCAAATGAAAGGTTCTCCATCCCTGCATTATGCCATCAAGTCTGCCTGAAGACACTCAGCTCTCACTCCCGAGACTTCACACTTCTGTCTCTTGGTCCTGCTGCCACCATTCTCTCTTGCTGTCTCTCCCTACCTATACCATCTCTAGTGTTACAACTCTAAGATCTTCATCCTGAGCCCTTACCAGAACTTTCTTTGATGTCCATAATTCCACCAATGGTCTCTGCAAGGTAATCTCGGCTTGTATTCTTGTTGTTGTGAGGTGCTGTCAAGTCAGTCTCGACTCCTAACCACGCTATGCACAAAAAGCTGCATACTACCCGATCCTGCGTCATCCTGGCAGTTGATGTGGAGCCCACTGTTGCTGCTACGGTGTCAGTCCATCTTGTTGGGGGTCTTTCTCTTTTTTGCTGATCGTCCACCTTTATGTTCTTCTCCAGGGATTGGTCCCACCTGGCAATATGTCTAAAGTATTCCTCGATTCTAAGGTGCATTCTGGCTGTATTTCTTCCAAAGCACATTTCTTTGTTCTTCTCGCAATCCAGGGTACTTTCAATAGTCTTCTCTGCCACTATAATTCAAATGCATCAATTATTCTATGATCTTCCTTATTCATTGTCCAACTTTCAAATGCATTTGAGGCTATTGAAAATGCCATGGCTTGGATCTGGTGTACCTTAGTTATCCAACCCATAGCAATTCTGTATAGGGTTTCCGAGGAGCAGCTGGTGAGTTTGAACTGCTGACCCTGCTGTTCAAACCAACCTTATGGTCAAGTGCTTATACTACAGCGCCACACCAGAACTCTGGTATGACAATACTATTAGGAAAAAGATGAAAGGAAATGAAATTATTTTAGTACAACAAAAATCAACTCAATAAATTTGAAAACTAAAGAATAACTGATCTTATTTTCTGACTATAATCAACCAATTTTTTTGTTCTTTAAATTTTAGTTTTTAAACCAAAGTACTTCCAGTGAGGATTTTTTAAGAAAAATTATTTGAATTTCATGATTTTTCATTGGGTTTTAAGTTCTCTTACTTTTGATAACATACTTCTACATTTTTTTCAAAACTGAAAAATCTGGTTTGCCTTTCTAGAGCGTTAATGAACTCACACTGCTGTATTTAGATATTAACTAGAGAAACTTGATACATATTCATTCAGTAAACGCTTATGCTATTGATTTAGCACTCTGTCCAGGACTCATCTGTGGACGTGACCGTGGACAAGTGACTCTCTTCTATAGAATCAATCTCTACCTGTAAGAAAACTAAAAGGACTCAAGGGAATCCAAACTTACTTCTTTATGGTATGCTCCTGCTGCAAATACTTTTCGTGGACACATTTCTCAAACATAACTAACGCGTGCTCCCCCTTTTTCATTCCATTCGGTACTCGGTGTTCATCTGCAAAGTCTGTAGATAAGAGCTCAGATTCGATTTCTTCCAACAAGTCCTCTGATGCTGAAACATTCTTTATTTTTGAAATAAGTTTCTTGGTACAGTCTGTGTCATAGGGACTTTCTGAATAAGCCTTTTGATTAGCTGCTTCTGTAAATGTAGACGACCTTAATTCCACCAATATTTCAGTTACTGTCTGCTCGGTGTCATTTGCTTTTGAAACTTGCTTTGTAGAATAGCCACCAGGAAAATTAGCTATTTGTTCAGAATTTTCTGTGCATATGTCTGTTTTAGCACAAGAATCCTCCCCTCCACCATGATCTGAGACAGCATTTTCTTGTGCTTCAGTTTGGTGACTGTGTTCATTAGGTTGACATAAAGTCGTACTGAAGCTTGGTGACAATGGTTTCGACTCATTTTCTAAGCTGTTGCTTCCATCACCAGAAAACGAGCTGCAGGAGTCTACGGGTGCTTTTTCTACCTTTTCATCAGTGGAAGTGGAGGCTATGTGCCCTGTCTCTGACATGCTTACTGGCAGCAGTTCACTCTGCATTTCTTCAGATCTGCTCCTGATCTTCCTTTTACAGCTAAAAAAGTCAAAACATCATAATTAGTTTTGGAATTGTTTTTGGTTTTGTTTTAAATACCAAGGCCATATCTCTCTCTGTGTATATGTATACATATATAGATATAGATCTGGTAGTGTAGTGGTAACGAATCAGGCTGCAAACCTCAAGGTCAGCAGTTTGAAATTACCAGCTGCTCCGTGGGAGAAAGATGAGGCTTTCTGCTCCCTTAAAGATTTACAGCCTCGGAAACACTGTACAGAGTCGCTATGAGTGGGAACCAACTCCACGGCACAGAACAACAACATAGATATATAGATGTACTTTGTTGTTGTTAAGGTCTGACTTGTAGTGACCCTGTATAGAGTTTTTCAAGGAGCAGATGGGTTTGAACCACCAACCTTGTGGTTACTGGTCCAGTACTTATCCTACAGAGCCACAGCAGGACTCTATATATATAGATCACTGCAAGATGTAGAGTAGCTAAGGCCACAAATTTCACCACTGCCTGGTGTGGCGCTGTGGGCTGATGCATCAGACTACAAAATCGTTTGAACTGCAAGGTCGGTGGTTCAAGCTCACCATCTGCTCCTTGGCAACCCTGTACAGGGTTGCTATTTGGGTCAGAATTGACTCGATGGCACTTAACAACAATTCCTTTAAGAGCCTTTATAGGGGGTATAGGAAAAAGAACAGGGCAACCAGCTTGGGTGTGTTATAGCCAGAGGACGGCTGCAAAATCCTGCTCTCGCTCCCCCTTCCATTCCATCACATAGTTTCACTGGTCCATTTCAGTTGCAATGTGGCTCTTCTGGATCACCCTGATACGATGCTAGGTAAGGAATACTACTAGTAATCTGAAGGTTGGTACCAAAGAATTGTTTAGAATTCCTTCAGCTTCACAAAGGGAAAAAGAGAACCTCAAGAATCTGGAAGAAAACAATGGAGAACTAAGACCAGAATGAAAGCACTCGAAAAGAACCCACATAACATAAACAAGGCAACAAGACACGGCTACCTATAGCCCAGAGTCCTAAAGCTGTGAAGAAAACAGGTGTAAACATGCCTGAAAGGAACGAGTTTTTGTAGATGTGCAAAGAGATTCAGGAAATACCATGATTCTCAAACCCTCACATCAAGAGTAGTAAACAATGTTCAGTGCAAATCAAATGGAGCCCAAGAGTACTGTCTAGGTCATAAAAGCAACATTAAAAATAATAACAGTAACTCAACAGGACTGGAATATATGTTTATATTGTTCAGGAGCATTACTACTCTAGCCATTGTATAAAAATTAACCACCTTTAGAAATGATCTTGAATAAAATATATCAGTGGTCTTAAAGAAAAGGAATCTTCAGCTTGGCACCAACAAGCACATACAGGATGGATGAGTTACTTAAATCCTCTGAGGCTTGATTTTTTCAAAACTGGGGAGTGAATGTGATAGTTCAACACAATCAAGGTGAGAAACAGTTCCACATAGGAGGTGTAGTAATAGCAGACAAAACAGAAAGATTAAATTGCTGAAAAACAGAAAACAAGGTAACCTATTGATGCTAGATTAGTGGAGGTCAGAGGATGATAAAAAAAAAGGGTAAGAGGAGACCAAGGGTGGTCTGGTAGAAACCACAGAATGCCTGCAGGAGTTACTTTTGTTAGGAACGACAAGAAATTATTCCTTAGCAATCTACATGAGTCTAGGGTATCAATCAATCAATCTTGCAGGTCTAAGAGATTCTCAGCACAGGGACCCTCGGTCTAAAGGACTCACTCTGTTCTTGGCTCTTCTTTCTGGTGGTAGTAATTCCTCTTCTTTGCTCACTTCTCTCTCCCTTTATCTCTTGTATGTAATATAAAAGGTGACACCGGTCACGCCCGAGAAACTACGCTTACAGGAGATTAGGGCTGTGACATGCATGTTGTTGTTGTTATTAAGTGCCGTCAAGTCGGTTCCGAGCCATAGCGACCCTGATCAGGGTTTCCAAGGCTGTAAATCTTTACAGGAGCAGAAAGCCTCATCTTTCTCCAGCAGAGCAGCTGGTAGTTTCAAACTGCTGACTTGAGGTTCGCAGCCTGATTTGTAACCACTACGCTACCAGAGCTCCTTTGTGACCTGCATAAGAGCATTGAATTCCACCCTAATCCAGTCTAATGAGCTCCACTCTAATGGTACAATGTGATAGTGGTGGTGGTGATGTGCTGCGGAGTTGGCTCCGACTCATAGGGACCCTGTACTAAGGAGCTCTGGTAGCGTAGTGGTTATGAATCGGGCTGCAAACCTCAAGGTCAGCAGTTGGAAACTACCAGCTGTTCTGCGGGAGAAAGATGAGGCTTTACAGGAGCAGAATATCTCCTCTCTCTCCTGCGGAACCACTACGGTAGTAGGTACTAGAGCTTGACTGTGTAGAGTATCACATAGTGCTGCTAAGTGTCTTTCAGTCAGTTCTGACTAACAGCGACCCTGTCTAGGATTTCCAAGGTGCAGCTGGTGGGTTTGAACAACCGACCTTGTGGTTCGCAGTCCAGTGCTGATCCTACAGTGCCACACCAGGAGTCCATCACATACCAGGTCCTCAAATGTTTGCTGAATTAAAGCTTGTAAGCAAAGACGTGGTAATTATAGAACCAGTTACAAGGAACTTATTCTAGAGAGGTTGGTGCAGCGCTATGAGTTAATGCGCTGGACTGCAAAGTTGGTTTGCACTGCAAGGTCAGTGGTTCAAGTTCACCAGTCGCTCCTCAGAAACGCTATACAGGGCCTCTATGAGTTGGTCAGAACCAACACAACAGCACTTAACAACAAACAACAATTCTAGAAATGTTTAAAGTCGGAGGAATAATTAACACAAGAGGGACCAGCTGTTTCATTAAAGACTTTATCTTTTAGTTCAGACTGCTTTTCGGGGCACCAACTAATACAGACATTGGCCTTAATACTCTAAATATATGTAACAGAAATGTACACCACAGATTTAAAATAACCACTCAAATTCTCATTTTCATTCAATGTATGAGAGGCTTGAATCAGAAAATACAACTAAATGGTGTTGTCTTCCTCCACACCAAAACCAAACCCAGTGCTGATGAGTCAACTCTGCCTCAGAGCGAGCCTAGGGCAGGAGAGAGCTGCCCCCATAGGACGCCTTCCCAAGGCTAGGATCTTTATGGAAGCAGACTGCCATATCTTTCTCCTATGGAGCCCCTGGTGGGTTTGAACCACCAGCCTTCCAGTTAGCAGCAATGCACCTAACCACTGCACCCCCAGCGCTCCTTCTGCTCTACTCCTAGAACAAAGTAAAGTGATTCGGAAACATTAGTCAGCTACATGATCTTTCTGAAAGTGCCACTTGAAGATATACTTTGTGACTGTGTTGCTATTAAAATTGTAATTGACCAGTTTTGAAATCAATGTGAAAACTAATGAAAGGAGTAAAACCCCAGGTAAACCCACTGCCATCCATTCACTGTGACCCAGTGTGTCCGAGCTGTCAGTCCTTCCAGGAGCAGAGAGCTTCATCGTTCCGGAAGACGAGTTGCTGAGTTTAAACTGTTGCCCTTTTGGTTAGCAGGCTGGTGCTTACCCTACAGTGCCTCCTTAATGAAGGGAGTAGTTTTAAAAATGAAAACTAGTTAAAGCTAGCTACACTAGTTAACAGAGAAGTTGAACAAGTGCTAGCCAAAATGTAATGGTCGGCAGATAAAGAATCAATTTAAACGAGAGTAGAACTGCAAAGAGCTGTAGTGTGGTACTTACTGTAGGATAAGCTCTGGACTGCGAACCGAAGACTCGGCCCTTTAAACCCACTAGTTGCTCTTGGAAATGCTATGCGGGGTTACTATGGGTCAGAACCAACTTGTCAGTACACAACAACAACAGGGCAGAAAAGGCATCATGACTCCCCAGTATTGAGAAAGTGACAAGAAATGTTCATCACTAGACAACCTGAAGACTCCGTTATGTGTGTCCTGCTTTGCCAATGGAAAACCACTACTGCCTATTGTCATCTTACCCAGAGTTCAGTCTTCGAGTCTTTATTTTCCCTCCTAGGAATCATCCACTTGGATAACTTGAACCCACAGCTCATAGCTGGTACCCATATATTTTCAGTCCTGGGCTCTTGCAACACAAATGTTAATTCATCTATTTCCTCCTTGAGATTCCTCAGCAACTAGCTGTACTACTTTTCCAATCTTATCTCGCAACACATTCCTAAAATCCTAGTGCTATACTATATTCTACCAGTAGACTGAGCCAGTCTACTCAGAGTCTCCCTGTTTACTTATTAATATGTCCATGGTTTTGTCCCCAATCTGTAAAGGTCTTCCTTTCATTCTCTTATGTCTAAAGAACCAGTTCTAATGGCATATCTTCCTCCCAATTTTTCTTCAATCAAAGTACAAAACTAATCTCTCATACAAAGTAAAACATACACTACATCCATACTCATCATGCACCGGGTCACAGACTTCCTGGGGACATTTTTGAAGACTGTCTCAAGCCTTTAGCATGATCTCTGCACTTGCAAGAAGGCAAGGAGACTTACTACTCTGCAATCAATCAAATGTCTTAAATCTCAAATGAAAGAAACAATAAATAATCTAGCAAACATAGTCTCTGTTACGTTTACACTGATTTATGCATATTTATCCAGAGGTTTTCAATAGGGTAAGGCTCTTTGGGTTTACAAAATGATTCAGGGAAACCAAAAGTAACAGTGAATGAGAAGCAGTTTGTGAGACTTATATTATGTCCAGAACAACAACAAAATTGTTTCACATTTTGCTGGATAATCACCTAGTTTAATAATAAAAAAACCCCTCCTTAAACATACTATTTTTCCAATTACCGAAGCTTAGACCGTAACTCTGTTTTGTGTATTCTTGTTGTTGTGTAGTTCTGACTCACAGCAACCTTGTACAGGATTTCCAAGGAGTGGTGGGTAAGCTTGAACCACTAACCTTGAAGTTTAAGCCGACCTTGCATTAACCAGTGCATTTACCCACAGTGCCAT